ATCTTTCTTAGATCATAACATCTATGTGCACTTGTAGTAAAAGGCTCACTTGTAATGGTCTTCCTCAAAGGTTCCTTAGGCTTACAGATTATCTGTCTTAGATCATAACATCTATGTGCACGAGTAGAGAACAGGATTATAATGTACAATAACTGATTAAATGGATGAGCTATAGGGTTGGTTATTTTAGAGCAAAGTCACACTGAGCTATATGTTGTTTCCACCGCAGGGAATAGATTGCCGGATTTCAGCATTGTAAGTCCGTAAACTTCCCGTTGTCCCACGGGAGGACGAGCTACAGGGATAAAAATCTGTACTTCAAAGAAAATATTGCGTGTACTTGTTTTATAACCAAGTATACTTAGTTTGCCGACTAGTGTAATGATAGCTTGTTTATATAATTTGTGTTTACGTTAAAGTTATTACGGCTATATACCAACAACAACAAAACAGTAAACGGAACAAAAACAGTCAGAAGTCATGATACTGGAGAAACTAGTTTCGTCACATTCGTGTGTCCTCTTCAATCTCACGGAAAACTGAAGAGGACACAAATGAGTCGAAACTAGTTTCTTTTGTATAATGACTTCCGACAGTTTGTTCCATTGGCTGCTGTTGTTGTTGTTGTTGTTTTTTCTCTCTTACACACGATTTTTGTTTTTCTTGTTCGGGTGAATATTATGGCTATCTGCCGTTATCTTTAATTCTAAAATTTTTGCCGGAGGAAAACCAGCCTGATAGTAACATTCACTGCCAACTGTTTATTATTTTTCTTTAACCAACGATTGACACTCACATTATGACGCTTCCACTGTTTGTAGGGCGACCATGTTCGGCACCTAGTTGCGACCCCGCGACACGCTGATTGCAAATCAAGCGTCCTGACCATCAGACCAAAACAACGACCCCTTTCAATTTTCTTGCGATTTCTGCGCGTAGGAAAAGACAGAAACCTCACTCGGTAAAGCCGTACCCTAAAGTAACTCGGTAAAGCCGTACCCTAAAGTAGCTGTAAATAAAGACAATAAAGTAACGGAACATGAAGCAATGTCTTCAATTCGATTTCAAGAATCATGATTTATTATTTGTTGACAAATTATTTCAGTAACTTATTGAATTTTAACGAAGAAAACCCAACCTTATGCCTCTTACCCTGCAGTCATTTTTACTTGTATGTAGAATAGCTTGATGTTTGCGAACCAGTGTTTCTTTCTAGTGTTTCGTAGTTTCAGTCTTTCAACTTCGCCGATGTTAAATTTTGGTTACTGCTGTTTTGTTTAGCTTTAAGGTTTACTATAGCATGCAAGTCGGTAACATGTACCCTGGAGTTTCATTAAGATCCAAGGTTCGATTCCTTGCGATGGACAGAGCGCAGATAGCCCATTGTGTAGCTGTGCAGTAAAAAAAAAATTGAGGAAAAATGGTTTTGTTTAAGCTTCAATAAACCACGTTCTCCAAAAGAATATTACATAATAGTATTTCGTGTAGATTAATATATTTTTACTAGTTTAATTATAATTAGTTGACCTATACAGCTTCCTTAAAACTAGCCAATGGAAAGTTCTGGAAAGTATCGGAAATATTGAATTTAAAATTTATCACCAGGGGATCAGTGCAGCCAATTTTCAGAATAGTTGTAGTTTCGCTTTTATATCAAACATCTTCCTGGTCGTATATTCAACCACTGTTCCTGGACAACAAACCTAATAACATTACTTTTATCTTGTTCCTCTTTGTAAAGAGACCTATTGTACTTGTACATTGTATTATACAGACTTAAACCTCGCCATGATAATTTATTTTATATATGCTTGGCAGAAATTTTAGTACTTTTAATACTAGTATAGGGAATGGGTGGATATACAAAATATATGTATTCATAAACTAGAAAACCTACTTGTAAGTCAGGATACTTCACAGGCAGACAAATCAAGAGAGATGGGGAGGGGGGTCGTCTGCACCCTAGGTCTACGACTGGCGGGGTAGTTTAATATTGTTAATAATTCTTAGGCTGCCATACACTACATGCCTGCATTTTACCATGTATATTTTAGGACTTGTTTCATTTGAAGTTCTTTAAATGCCACATTGGCTGGAGGACCACCTGATCCCCATAGAACCACGATGTTCAGGTCTCGTTCTTTAAATGCCACATTGGTTGGAGGACCACCTGATCCCCATAGAACCACGATGTTCAGGTCTCGTTCTTTAAATGCCACATTGGCTGGAGGACCACCTGATCCCCATAGAACCACGACGTTCAGGTCTCGTTCTTTAAATGCCACATTGGTTGGAGGACCACCTGATCCCCATAGAACCACGATATTCAGGTCTCGTTCTTTAAATGCCGCATTGGCTGGAGAACCACCTGATCCCCATAGAACTACGATGTTCAGATCTCGTTCTTTAAATGCCACATTGGCTAGAGGACAGATCACCTGATCCCCATAGAGCTACGATGTTCAGGTCTCATTAGCGCTTCTAGGTAATTTTGTTTCTTTTGCCTATGCTTTTGCTTTACTTCTCTTACCGAAATAGTGTGTGTGTCGTGGACCTGAAAATTTGTACATGAAAGGACGAAATATGTATTAATTGCAGACAGGAGTTGAGGGTGGAAGTTCAAAGTACACATGACATATTATCGAACACTAGTTTGGCAATTGTCACGATGTTAAAACTTACAAATGTAGCCAGTTTTGCTGGAAAATGAAAGTATTAATCAGTTGTTTTTTTCGACATTAGTATATTAATAACAAACACGGGAGTGTTAACATGCAAATTGACAATGCTGCAGTGTCAGCATTGCGTCTTTTTTTTAATTAGCTCGAAGTGTAGTATTCACAATAATAAATACCGAAAGTGATAGTTGGTTACGTTAGCTTATCATCAACGACTAATAATCATTATTTTTAAAGATATTATCCAACATACATTGTAATAACTAGTAATTTACACTTATAATTAAAGTCATTTCTCAGAATTAAAAAAAATACTATAATTATAGTTTGGAAACACACTTTAAAGTTACATTCTGAAAGTGAAATGCTATTTTATATTTACATCCGCTTACTCTTTCACACCTTTGTCTCTGAAATTCAAAATCGTACAGGCAAAGCACTTAATATAGGACAAATAATTACAACTGGTAGACTTATTACTATTAGGGCTAATTTGATACGAAATATAAAAAACACAAACTTAACACGAATAGTAAATTATTAAACGTTTGGCACAATTGCAGTTTTGAATGAAGGAAAGAATATTTAATAAATCCTTGTAACAGATGTAAGTTGTAACAACTATTTAGAATAATAGAAATAAGAACACGAATTTCGAAGATCAATTTTCAATTCAAAACTGACAGTGTACGTTGAAGCCTAAACACAATACCATTTTTCAAGTTCAAGAACTCTTATGCCTAGCCAGATTTGTTATTACTTGTCAACGCTATAATAAAACCACGACGAACGTTCCAAACAAAAAATAAAATGCTTCACGAGAGATGCAGATAAAAGAAAGGTTGAAACTGTCTTTACGATAACTACAACTTAACGAACTACTTACTCTATTATGTGCCTCTGCAGCAAATCCTGTTTTATGTGCTCTATTTTCTGCCATTTCGAATGTAAGATTAACTTGACAGAAAAGCAAGTTGATTCAAAAGAAATGTATGTGCACGCGTCTAAACGTCATGCAGGATCGAACTGCTAAATAACGGAGAGAAGGGCAACGTGCCGCTCTTCTGCTGCAGCGTGAAGCGTGATCACGTGAGGGTTAAGTATATCCGTAGAAGTGACGTCATATGTGCAGCGTGTTTTTACAACATTTTAAATTACTAGTCAAGGTTAAAAATAAATATGACATTATATTATTTATTAAATATTAGTTATTCCTTCTTCACGGCATATTTCATAATAGCAGGACATCATGACACATTTCGTATTGCAAAGTGGCATAAAATGATATATTATTAAAAAAAAACATTCCTCCTACACTGGCTCCTCAGATGTCCTTGCTCCCAACAGTTCCAACAGCCTTTCTGGATAGCAGCCTTTCCTGCTGTATCATATCCCCTGTGTTGAAGTTGCCAGCATTGAGCTCTCTTGTGCCCAGGTTTGTTACAGTGCCAGCAAAGTCCCTCAAACCTCTCTGAAAGCTGACCTTTTCTAGCCTTGAATCCAGATGACTGTACCAACCTCGGTACCTCTGTGCTGGACTTAACGTAGTATTCAAGTTCGAGAGCTCTGGCCATTGCATCCTGCATAGTAGAAGGGTGTGCTTGCTTCACTTGTATCTTAAGTTGTGGACTGTCCAAGGCATCTACGAACTGATCCCTCAGCAACAACTTGAGGAGATCGGGTGGTGCAGTTAGGTAGGCCTTGTGTGCCATGCTTTCCAAGTCCTGTGTCAGCTCTTGCAGGCTCTCCTCTTTAGCACGGACTCACTAGAGTCTATAATAAAATAAATTCATAGTAATTCTCGAAAATACTGATCCACCATCGTGAGGACATATCCATTCTGTAATCATAGGCTCATTTCTGCCAATATTTCTTTTTCTCTTTGGGTTTGGAGGGGATGGTGGCATATATTAAAACCAAATGGCATTACGCATGCCAAAAAACAGTTTCGAAGGTCAACATTCAAGATACGATAGGAATGTATTCATAAAACGAACGTCTTCATAAGTTGAAAAAGAAAAGAAACTGTCCGAAAATATAACTCTGCCTTAAGAACACTTAGAATAATATAAGGTGCCTGAGCTCCATCTGGTAAAGAAGACTGTTTGTTTGTTTGTTTATAGTTAACCATAAAGCTACACAATGGGCTATCTATGCTCTGCCCACCATGGGTATCGAAACCCCGTTTCTAGCGTTGTAAGTCCGCAGACATACCGCTGTGCCACTGGGAGCCATCTTGTAAATTGTTTGTTTATAGTTAAGCACAAAGCTACACAATGGGCTATCTGTGCTCTGCCCACCACGGGTATCGAAACCTCGTTTCTAGCGCTGTAAGTCCGCAGACATACCTCTGTGCCACTGGGGGAGGGGTATAAAGAAGACATAGGGAAGGGTAGATTGTACCTGAAGAGGGATTATTGAAGGCATTAACGAGTGGAAGAAGGACAGTCAACAAAAATGTGTAAAAACAATTCTTAAGAAAATAACAATAAAGGAGTGGACTAAAGGAGGTGATGATCCCCAAATAACCTTAAATTCTAAGTTGTGCTATAGAAAAGAAGATGATTTGTAAATTAAAGATAGCACAAGTTTGCACAAGTTGAAGAAACGGGATAAGGGACTTGTCCCACATATAATACTTAAAAAAAACAAGATTCTCGAGGAAACTCTAAATATTTTTCTAAGTACGTTATATATATTTAAAAGTGTTACTGAGCAATGGACTGTTGTCTATGTACCTTCAAAGGAACCTCTGATGCCAAATTATGTATAGCAAAAGCAGAGATACGATTATTACACCCAAAAATTTCTTCAAGGTACCAGAAAGAGTCAGAAAAAACTTAAAACGTTTCTGGAAATCAACAACCATTGGTTATCAAGTGGCCAACATGAGTATTTGAATTTTTTCACAAAAGAAATATCCACGTTATACACATCCAGAAATAATAATTATAAATACATGATGAATAAAAACAGTATGACTTTTGACTTCCAAGTACAAAAATTGATCTCCAGTTTTCTTCCCACGATTAATCATGATCCAAAGTGAAGTACAAAGATACCACAAGTGTCTCCTCTTTTAATTCAATTCACCAATTAACCATACTATTACAGGCCATATTATCAGACCACCCATAGGCACTGATCAGCATTAAAATCACTACAAACTAATATACTAGTGTCAAAATCTTGAAAAAGCCAAGTCAGTTGCTTATGATGTAAAGTAGCACAAAGGTTATACACAAATAACGTAGCAAGATGAAAAATCATTATTAACAAGATGAACATGTAAAGGATGGTATTAAATATTCTTCATAGTTAAAAAGCATAAACTACCATGCCTAATATTGACATAATTAAGATGGATGACAGAATAAGAACATCGATACTGAGACTTAACTAAGTTTCACAAAGTAAAAATATATGAGCTCTTCGGGATCAACAGAATGTTGTATATCATGGGACCTTAAACTTGGAACATTTCACAATAATGTGAGTGATCATCATGAGGGATTTAACGAGCATACAACAGATTGTGAACATACTGGGGATACTTCGAGACCTGCTTCTGTCAGCCTCAACACCAGAATCGCAGAGGTAGAACTGAGAACGAATGAGCGTTTTAATCTTTGAAGATAGCTCGCATCCTTTCTTTTGTGAGAGCGTCACAGCAAATCATCTGCTATAACATACAGATACCATCCACACACGCAGCAAAAGACGTCGCAGTCGTTGATCTTTCTAACATTTAAGCGAGTATGCTTCAATATCCCTCTGGCGGAGCAGTTATTATCTGCTACAGAGAACAAGGACACGAAGGCAACCAGATTAAGGCAAACTACGACGATTTTCTGGACTACAGATGTATACTAAAACTGCATAGAAACTACTTGAATGGAATACTTAAAAAATCCGATACAACTAAATGAAGGTAGAAAGCACGATACGCGTGCATATCACAGTACGATCATATTTGTGAGCATGGTAGTACGGGTACATCTACCTATCTTAATGGCTTGATAAAGTGTACGGTCTCAGGAAGACCCCTCCTACACACACAGCCTGG